AATTTTTGACCCCCTCTAAAAAATCACCTAATATTTGACACCTCCTTTATTTAATTAAAGTCAAACTTTAATATGATTAACTATAATCAGAAAGTGTTATTGTTGTGGTTTTTTCAAGTATTTGAAATATGATTTTGTCTTTTAAACTATTTACAATTCTCATAATAGTTCAAAATTCTTTTTAATATGATTGAGCCATTTATTTGAATTTAACATATTTTTTTCAAGAATATTTCTTGTTTTATTTAAAAAATTAATAATTTTTTTTTTTTGGGTTTGGAACAAGATTAGATCTTAATTATCCTTATCTTGATTATTCTCATTCATTAAATGCTGTTTATTGATATTGGTAATAGTAATGAATTCTTGTTGCTCATGAACTTGATTTGAAATCTTCTGATTATTGGCTTGTAAATTATCTTTATATTCATTTCTTACAACTAATTTATAAGTGTTTAGACTTTTAACAATGGTATGAAGATTTTTAGACAAAGGTAAAGGTATTTTCATCTTTAATTTTCAATAAAGGATATAACTCTTAACGTGTTACTTTAAAATAAAAGGAATTAGTATTTTTAAATTATATAAATAACTAAATAAATGCTTTTTACTTTTCTAAAAAATTCAGTCTCAACAGGGCTATAAAGCTGTATCAAATACTTATACAAATAAAAATGACATAAAAGAAAACTTTGATATGAATATATCCAATATAAAGAATTAGTAATATAAATAAAATTAGTTAATTATTTGTGTAGCCAAATTTTTCTATTCAAACCCAAAATTTTTCTTGCCAACTTGTTATATATTGATTATTATATAAAAATTGTAACCAATCAATTTGATATAGTATAGCTTTTGTAACAATAATATAAATGATTAAGTTCAGTTGTGTCTAATTATAATTTGAAAAAAAGTTATACTTTAGAGTTTGCTAATAACTTTCAATAGCTATTGTAGTTCAAAGAATATTAAGCTTTGGTCTTGAAGAACGTGACTATAATTTTTATATCTTAGGTAGTATCATTTAAACTATAAATAAGTCCAAACATAACTTAAATTCTTTTTATAACAATATTTATATTGTTTCTTAACACTTTCATTCCAAATTTGATTTGTATTAAAAAAATTTAGTAAGTGTTCTGCTAGTATTAGTGGGTGCTACAAAAAATAAATTCAAATTATTTGAAGTATTATTTTATTAAAGTCTTTTTGGCAAAAGATTTTTTCTTATTATTAGATAGTTTCTAATTTGTAATATAAGATTTTGATGAACTAGTTGTCATTTAGAATTGATAATTAAACAAAGTGAATATGTCTTATAAACATTATAGTAATTATGCACAATACTGGTACTTGAAAATTTTTTCTTTATTGCATATAATACATGCCTGTAACACAACTAAATCTGTGCTTTTGTCCAAATTTTATTAGCAGCTGTTATTTGTCTATAATCTTTGTCTATTAATATAGTTTCAACATTTTGAATTCTATAAATACTGAAACTATTTTGTAATTGCTTGTGTTTTACTACAGCATATAGTTTAAACTTTAAATAGTTCGTACTATATGTAGTATCCACTACAATTGTCTTTGTAACTTTATTTGAAAATACATATAGTAAAGAGATTAAAAAAGCTAATAAGTTTTGGTCTTAAAAAAGAAGTTTAAAACTTGAATTATTTTTCAAGTATCATCAAGCTAATATTAATTGATTGTTAGCAAGCTTATATTCTTTTATTGCAACTTTTTTAAACTAATAATAAACTTGATGCTAAGTAATATGTGAAAATCCATCAAGCTGCTGCTCTTTAATATTATTATAAAGTTGTGGAACTATTAACAAATTATTTTTAATAATGTAATTATAAATTTGAGAAGAAACTTCTATCACTTTCGATAGTAAATGAAAATAATAATAAATGCCTACTACTGCCAAAATACAATCTCAATCTATATTAATTTGAATTGTGTCACCACATGTATATTGATTAATTCTTGATAATGTGTCTTGTTTATATGAAATTTTAGCAATTCATGGTTTTTTACTTTTTAATTCCTTATGACAAT